CCCACAGAGTTCTTTGAGGCGACCTTTATTGAGCGAGAGTAAGATTTCTATTTTCTTCCAAGAAAATAATGTTAGTATTTTAAACTGTGTTTTGCATTGCTTAAATTATGAAATGGAATTATTTTAGGTACGTAGAGTGCACTTCTTCAGCAATTCAAGGACTCAAACTGTTTAGGAGATTGTACCCGGCGCATCGAGGAAAAGAAATAGACAATTGCATATTAAAAGGGATACAATATCTTGAAGACCAACAAAATCCTGATGGTTCATGGTATTAATGTTTCCTTTCCTTACGAATTAATTTCCAATTTAGATCATATAGTTTTTAGGATTAATCTCATTAGTACCCCTGACTTTGTATCATTATTAGTTTGCCGCTTAACTTTAAAATTAGCCCCCTCCGTTAAGAACTACTTCAAAAACAGACAAAGAAAAAAAAAAGTGATGAGATCATATGGTCTATCTGTTAGAATTTTCATTAAAAATAAGAAGAATTCTTCAGTACACCGGGTGTACCACGTCATATTGCTTATGTAGTACACCCGTCCAATAAGATTGTATCATTTAGATATTTTGTCTATGTCAGTTTTTCACTTTTTATTTTTCTCTTTCCTAATAAGTATTTGCATTGAATACCTATTAGAAAAGAGAAAAATAAAAGTGAAAAGCTGATATATAGACAAAATGTCTAAATGATACAATCTTATTGGACGGGGGGACCACATAAGCAATATGACGTGGTACACCCGGTGTACTGAATAATTCCTCTAAAAATAAATGAAAAAAGACTAAAGGGGTTAAGTATGCCTAAACCAAAATTAAAAGGACAAAACTGAGAGTTTTTAGATTAAAGGAGCAAACTAAAAATTACCGACAAGGGCATTAGTGAGATTAATCTGTTCTCTTTTAAGTACAATTGGTCGATATTCTGAGAAAATGAACATATAATCGCAGGTATGGCTCCTGGGGTATATGCTTCACTTATGGTACATGGTTTGCCGTGGAAGGGCTTGTAACTTGTGGGAAAAGCTACAATAATAGTCCGACCTTACGTAAAGCATGCAAATTTTTATTATCAAAGCAGTTACCAAATGGTGGATGGGGAGAAAGTTACCTTTCTAGCCAAGATAAGGTAACATATCATTTCAATAAAGATATGACAAAAATAATAATAATAATAATAATAATATACCTTTAATCATTTCTTTTTGACAATGACATATAATTTGACTTAAATCGAAGCAGGTTTACACTAATTTGGAAGGCGATCGTGCAAATTTAGTCCAGACTGCTTGGGCATTGTTGGCTCTCATTACTGCTGGGCAGGTCAGTATTATCTACTTTTTTTTTTTTTTTTACTGATGGTCAACTATAAAAATTGTAACACATATATTCATGAGAACTATACCTTTTTTATTAATTAACTATAAAAAGAAAAAAAAAACTATGGATCAAATATTTTCAAAACAACAAAATGTTGTGGTTGTAGGCAGAGCTTAGCAGTGATTCCACACCTAAGTCTAACATAAATGAAGAGTTTGAATCCCCCATCTGAAATTTGAAAAAAAAAAAAAAAAAAAATACAATATAATGCTCGTACAAATATAAAAAGTAATTAAGGTCAACGTGTAAGTAAAATGTTTATTGTATCCACGTGCTTAAAAGTTTTATTGTACCCGTCGATGTAAGCTTAGCAGTTATTTCCTCTTGTTATATTTTGTTCAATTCAGGCTGAGATAGATCCAACACCCATACATCGTGGAATAAGAGTATTGATCAACATGCAAATGGAAGATGGCGACTTCCCTCAACAGGTACTAATTGAACTGAGATGTGACATTTTTTTAGAGCTTTTAACTATAGTAAAAAAGTTATATGTGACATTTTCTGAGAGCTTTTAACTGTAGAAATTTAGAACTAAAAATTTAAATAGGTAAAATAAACGAGGCTATATAAAGCAATCACAACAACATTAGCAAAAACATACATGAATAAACAGACATAAGAGTATCAAAGCAAGCAAAGGATTCCAAATGAGGTTACGTGTGTTTTGATATAATTTATTTTTTAAATAAAAAAACACATATAATTATTATATCAATATATAAATAGTCTCTACTTATTTTTATTATTATTTAATTTTTAAACCCTACTAAAAGAAATTTTTGGCTCCATCACTAAGCATATGCCAAATATGGATACATCAGAACACATAGTAGAGAAACCTAATCTTGGGTGGTTTTCAAATAATCATCACTTTACCTACAAAAATTTACCCAAGACTTAAGTAATGATTAGTTATAGTGCTTGTTCATTAAGAAGTATTAGTATGTGAAAGTGAC